CTCTGGCACAGCTGTCCTTGAAAAAGAGCAGTTTGTGTCAGAGTTCTCTCGGCCCCACCTACCTCACAGGGTGTCTGTTGTGGGGAGGGGGAGGGAAAGGAGTTTGTAAACTGCTCTGAGACTCCAAGTGAAGGGCGGGGTATAAATCCAATCTCTTCTCTTCTCTCCTCCTCCTCCTCCTCCTCCTCCTCCTCCATAGGGTCTAGGTAGTACAATAAAGCAGAAAGGCAGGGGCCAAGGAAACGTGCATGGAATTCAGGGCAGTGCAAGGCAAGCAGGAGTCAAAACAGTGGTCTGCCAAGGTCAGCATTGTCTACTCTGACTGGCAGCAGCTCTCAGGCGCAGGTCTGCCGTATAATCTTATAAACGCAACCTTTTAACGGGAGATGCCAGGGATTGAACCTGGAACCTTGCTGCAGGTGCTCCAGCACGGAGCCACTACACTTGCCAAAGCAGAGAAGAAAAAGCCAGGGCCGCTTCAGCCAGTTGCAAAGCCTACATAGGCCAGAGCTGCTGACCCACTCAACCAATCTCCTCTTCCCTTCTGCTTCCTTTCACAGACATGTCTGGAAGGCTTTAACTAATGAGAAGGGTTGCCAGCTCTGGATTGGGAGATACCTAGAGATTTGGGGGGGGGGAGCCTGGGGAGGGCGGGGTTCAGGGAGGAGAGAGACTTCAGAAAGCCATAGAATTCACCCTCCAAAGCAGCTGTTTTCGTCAAGGGAACTGATCTGGGTTGTCTGGAGATCAACTGTAATGGTGGGAGGTCTCCAGGTGCCACCTGGAGGTTGGCAGCACTAGGGCCAAGGCAGTCGAATTACTTCCGGCGGTGTTTAATCCAGTCTCCACTGTGCAGGACTAAAAGCCTGGTTCTTGTTAGCCACCCATCCAGAAGCAGCAACAGGAGAATAAGGGAGAGGCAGAGGGGAGGAGGCATCAGGCCACACGGGCGGGGAAGGGAGACGGGATCTGCTGTTTGGGAGGCAAGCTGGGTCCAGTCCAGGATGCCCCAACTATCTTTGCCCAGGCCCGCTTGTGAGTTCCCATCCAATTACGAGATAAGAGGGACACACAATGCCTTTGACGTCGGCGCACAGAATTCCTCTGATTTGAAATGAAACTTTCTGCAGAACATGCCGTGCCCGGCAAGTCTCCAAGGAGACAAAAAGTATGCCAAGACTGCCACTGCCCTCTTGGGGCTGGGCTGCCTTGATATGGTCTCAGGGTACCAAGCGCAATAATTTCAGCTTCATAGAGTCCTATCGCGGGAGAAGGCTCTCTAACCACGGGAAGCATTGTCCGGAGGAATAACTCCCCGATAAACATCACCTAGCAACCAGCCCTGCTGACAGGCAGTAACCTTCAGGGAGCCGTGGAGAAACACAAAAGGCTTTTTGTTCAGAAGCCTTTAAGAGCACAGCTTGGAAGGAGTTCCTAATTCAGATGCCAAATTGGGGTCTTAGCTCAAGTGGCTTCAGGAAGAACCGGTTTGGTGTGGAAACCCACCCCTCCGGCGCCTACTCTGGTGACCTACCTCACATTCCTCACCCCTGTTACCCAGGAGCGGCTCTCCTGTGTAAATGCATGGACTAATCTGGTGTAAAAAGGATATTAAGACCCATTTCACTGCCCATGAGGTTTACAGCAGCCTTGAGACCTTGTAAATCTAATGGGGCACAGAGATTGCCCAAAAAGATCTACCTACCATTGCTCACATTTACCCTTGATAAAGAGCAAACGTTCCATTTGATTGAGGAGGGTGCAAACCAAATGAACACACTTCCTTAGGGTTTGGCACCACAGTGGAGAAAGATGAGCTCTTATATCAGGCTCTTGAGCCAAATGCAGCGTTGTGTTTTTTTAAAAAAGAAAATCAAATATTTATCTACTTACTTTATTTATAACCCACCTTTCTCCCCAACGGTGACCCAAAGCAGCTTACATAATTTTCCTCCCCTCTGTTTTATCCTCATCACAACAACCCTGTGAGGTAGGTCAGGCCGAAAGGGTGTGACTGTCCCAAGGTTTCATGGCATGAGTGGGGATTCAAACCTGGATTCCCCAGATCCTGTTCCGATACTTTAACCACTGAACCACAACGGCTCTCAGTTAAGGTATATTAGAGGGGCATGTGAGATGCTGGAATAACCAGTATGTGAAGGAAATGGGGCTGAAGTGCTTCTTAGAGATGCTGCACCAAAAAGGAAATGATTGAGGCGAACAGTTAACAGTAATCCAAGTGTGTGACTGGCCCATGCAGAGATTTATGCCAGTGCACTGAAACACCCACTCACGGTTCTTACTGTAGGCAGAGTGTAGTTATGCAGTAAAGTGGAGCACAAGCTGTTTGACTTTAAAGAATAAAGTTGATTTATTAAGAAGAAAACAAACTTTGTAAGAAAGATGAAAGAGAGAAAGAAGTCTGTGTAACAGCAAGGTGGAAGTCAGTAAGGAACTGTTCTCAGCAGGAGCAGGAAGGATGGGAAAGAGCCCTGAGTCAATCAGGAGACAAGAAGGAGAGTATTTGAAAATAGTAGGAAGTCCCTAATCTCACTAACTAGTTGTCCTCTCTGCTGCCCCCTGCAGGATGTTCTTGTCGCCTTCTTTATCAATGCACAATAGACCCTTGCACATGCCCACGCTTATTTCTTCTTTTGAGAACTCCTGTGTGACGTTTCCTCACAAAGGATTCACAACAACAAGTGCTTGGGCTGCAGAAACTTTATAGATTATTAATCAACATGTCAATTATCAGTCATGTTAAGCTGTGCATTTTCAATTATGCAAACTAGCTTTCTTATACTGGCTTTTTGTTGATCTCTTGCTCTGATTTTTGATATAGTTTGGCTCTTTAATGGTATCCGGCTGCACATCCTGTCTTAATTATCATATAGGTAAAGGTAAAGGTTTCCCTTGCTTGAAAGCCAGTCTAATCTGACTCTAGGGATGCGGTGCTCATCTCCATTTCCAAGCGAAGAGCCAGAGCTGTCCAAAGACGTTTCCATGGTCATGTGGCCGGCATGACTAGACACTGAGGTGCACAGAATGCTATTACCTTCCCACCGAAACGGTGTCTATTTATCTACTTGCAATTTCTTGCTTTTGAACTGCCAGGTTGGCAGGAGCTGGGACCAGAGACAGGAGCTCACTCCGTCATGTGGCACTCGGGTCTTGAACTGATGAACTACTTCCGGTCTGCAGTTCAGCATCTTAACCACTTGAGCCACTGCAGCCCTAATTATCATATACACATGCTTATTATGGATATAAATATATTTAACATACTAAGGATAGGCATTCATTTTCAAATAAATTTTAAATAATTTTTACTCTCAGACATTTGAGTAATTAAAACAAATGGGGGGCAGCAGTCAATTGGGGAATTCTTAGCGTGTCACATGACATGGTGATGCCATTCACAGGTCTTCACCCAGAAGGGCTGTCACTGTGTCATGTGACACCCCTCTTCCCCTTGTCCCACCCCTAAAGCTCACAGGATGGCCAAGTGTAGGTATGATTGCCAACCTCCGAGTGGGGCCTGGAGAGCTCCCAGAATTACAATTGATCTCACAGATCAGTTCCCCTGGAGAAAACCGATGTTTTGGGCTGGGGCAGATCTACTATGAAACTAATGAAGCTTGCCCCTAATCCTGGAAGGGCCCTGAAGTAACTTTTTTTTAATGAGTAAATTTTTCAACAAAATTGATGGGAGTTTTTTAAAGTGTTATTAAAATACGGCTATTTTAGTGACAGAATCATAAGCCAATGGGTTGAAGTCCTTATACCCATTTCACATGGCCTCAAAAGGTCCCAGTAATTGGTCAAATTTCAGAATTTTCTTGGGGGCTTGCGGCACCCAAACTCCCAGCTATATGGGCTTGCTGAGCTCGCCAGAATCTATTCATAGCCTACATTTTGGCAGCTGGATCCTGGAATCCTTCGTTGGTGCACGGCTTAAAAGTTCTACAGCTCAGCCCTTAGGCAATCAGAACCATAAAAAGACATCTGAATTCTCAATTCAGGCTGCACTAGTCTCGCTTGTGCATTTCAACGGCAAAAATCAGGTTTTCACCTCTTTATCCTAATGAGCCCCACCCCCTCTGATGACCTTCTACGTCTCTAGACCATTTTCAAGGGCTTCACCCCACCACCCCGTTTTCTGCCATTTGGACCCTGAGGTCCTTGCAAGGTAGGGATTGCAAGGCGGATTGGGCCCCGGGGGGAACTCCTCCCCGACGTGCGCGTCACCAGGAAGTGACACGGGCACGCCGGGCATGCTGGGGGCGGGGCCACGGCCATACAAGGGGAAACTCTATGGTTTTCCCTTGTATGGTCATGGCCTCGCCCCCAGTGTGCCCGGCGTCATAACGTCACTTCCTGGTGACGTGTGTGCGGGGTGCATGCTCTTTGCGTGCGCGCACGCGTGCCAGGATCAACCCGGGAGTCCCCCGCCGGCAAGGTAAGTTCCACTTGGCAACCCTATTGCAAGGGCAGCAAGGCCCTTTGGACTTTTTTAGATGTTGCCCTATTGTTGCTGGTTGAGAAGGGGCCCCCATAACAGTTCAAGCTTCAGGGCCCCAAAAATGTAGGTCCACCATTGGTTTTGGGGAGTGGACTCCATGGCACTGTGCTGAGGTCCCTTCATCCCCAAAGAGCCACCCTCCCCAGGTTCCACCCCCAAACTCCGGGAATTTCTCAACTCAGAGTTAGCAAACTGACACACAGGCCTGGCAACCCTAGATCCAAACCAGGGTTCTTTGTGCATGCTATTTAGTGGAGAGCTTGGGATTTCTCTAAACAGCATTTCCAGCCTCTGATGTGGTTTGGCTCTTAGATCACCTCAAAACATCTTCTAAGCTGTATTGTCCTACTATGAGGACACAAAGTGAAGGGTGCCTTGCATATCATAGTCCACTTCCCTAGATCTACAGAAAGGCTAGAAATTTAAATGAGTAATCAACAAATTCCTCTTTTTTCTCCTTTCTCTCTTTTCGCCCTAGAAAGAATATTCTTTCCAGTCAAAACAACACAGCAAAAAGGGGAAGCATGTTAGTAACGGCTCAGGTAAGTGTGTAATACATTGTTTGGTTGTAAGGTCTGTAGCTGCAGGTCATCCTTGTGCACGGTGATCCCAGACTTGATGTCCCATAATCCCCGGGTTTTGACAGTATTAGGGCAGACAGACAGAACTATTCTTCCTATTAAGTTGTGTGTATCTGCTAGGGGAGCCCTGAGGGGCAGGGACATGTGGGGCAGCTGTCAGTGATGCTGTGACTTCACTTCCAGGGAAAACCTAGAAGTCATGTCACAACTCTCTAGGAACTGCCAGGAACTCTATGGCAAAACAATAGAGTTTCCAGCAATTCCTAGGGAGGCCTGATGGCCGTTTTTTTCATTTTATTTTTCTCCCACTGCTGCTTAGGGCAGGGGAATGCCATCCCTAGTGTCCACTCAACCCACACACTATATTGCTCCAAATCCCATGGAAGCAAAATGCTACAGTGGAGGGGGAGTTACACCCGCATCATGATACTCTTGCACCAACAGGAGGCCACTGCCATAGGCCTTATGGTCACATAACTTAACCACCATCGGGGGAGGGGGAGGTTGCAGATTTGGTGAGGACTGGGGAGAAACAAACCTTCATTGGCCATTATTCTATACGCACTTGGGGTTAGTCTCACAGTCTCTGACAATGTAATGTTACACTTGCAAATAAGGCACCATAACTTAAGACGCTCCCCCTGGTCTCAGTAGGGAACTCCAGAGGATTTCCCCACCTCCATCCTCTCTGCCCCTATAGCCACAACAAAGGACAGGATTTCAACTACCTCTGCAGCTACTGCATAACACCAGAGTAAGCCAGGGGGGTACATAAACCCCAGCGAAGGAACACTGATCTCATATCTATAGCCAGTGTGGTGTAGTGGTTAAAGTGTCGGGCGAGGTCCAAAGGTAATGATGTGAATTCCATTACTTACCACACACTGTTGTTGTGAGGATACAGTGCAGGAGGGAAGAGCTATGTATGCCACTCTGTGCTCCTCAGAGGAAGAGTAAAAGGAAAATGTAATAGACAGATATCAAGATGCACACCATGGAACTGGTTATTCTGACCCTCCCTGAGTATGCAATAAAGTAACAACTTTTTTCCTGTTCTGCTGTAAGAAAGGCTAATGTTGGCCCCGGTCACACTGGGGGGAAAGGTGCGGCTGAAGTGCAGCTTTTTTGAGCCGCATCAAAAGAGAAGCGCGGCGGCGGGATCAGACAGATCCCCCGAGCCGCCGTGCAGTTGCTCCCCGGCACGATCAGATGCCGGGGGGAAGCCACAGATCAGTGAGCGAGGTGAGCCCGCTGCACATGTGTGCGCCTGCACAGTTTGGCAGGGGGGCTCACATGCTGCCGGAGATGGGCGCACCGGCGATCATACGGCCGCCCCTGCTGCGGATTTATTGGTAAGTAGTAGTGTTTTGTAGGGGTGGGGGGTTAATCCGCATCTTCGGCTGGAAGAGATGGATCGGGGACAGGTGCGCGCCGCTTCCCAGATGTTGCGGTGTGATCACGCCCACTTGATGTGCCCCTGATCCGTCCTGCTCGCGGATCAAAGCCTCCCGTGTGACCGGGGCCGTTGTAAGAATCTTAGCTGACCAGAACGCCATTTCATGAACGTAGGTGGGTTGTAAAACAAAGTTTGAATCCAGTGGCACCTTTAAGACCAACAAAGTTTTATTCTGGGTCTAAGCTTTCATTGTGCCTGCACACTTTTTCAGATAGGTGGGTTGTGTAAGCCTCAAGGATTTGACACCTGGAATGAGGATAAGCAACAAGGGGGATCTTTTTTCACTTTTCGGCTGCAAACCTTGGACTGTTTGGTACACCTCTCAAGGAAGGCGCAATGACCTTGTAAGCTTTTTATTAGCCAGAACCTGAAATTTTGTTTCGAAGACCTGTTTTGACTCTCCCTACTCCCCCCTCATTGGTCTGTATGCATCTGCGTAGAACACACATTTTAAAAATTAGATCTTAGATTTGAGATTTCCTGTGCTTCTTTCCCCATGGCCAGATGCTCAATTCATGCTACTTTATGCACAAGAACAGCTGACAAGGGAGAGCCAGTTGCCTTTTGGGAGACAAGGAATATGCTTAGGTCTCTCTCCTGCAGCGGAGGACACTGTCTCTGTCACACAAATGCACATTCTGCCAGCAGAGATCTAGGGCTATCGAGGGGCAGTCCGTCAATGTTGTAACATGGGGAAATGGAAAAAATTGTGAAATGTAACTTTAAGAAAGAACCAGAAATCTTACTTTTGGGATTGAAAATGGAAGAAGTTAACGTAGCTAAAAGAACTTTAATGTGGTACATGATTACGACAGCTAGAATAACATATGCCCAATGCTGGAAGCAGGAACAAGTACCGGAGGTGGCTGACTGGATTAAGAAGCTACTTTTTATGGTAGAAATGGATAAAATGACAAGAAAATTGAACAACAGAGATGCAGAGGAGTTTTTCGAAGACTGAAAAGATTTTAAAATGTATTTGGAAAAATATTGGGATGTAAAAGATACATTATTTTGTTTTGATATCTACTGACTGTAATTATTGAATAAGGAGTTGAAAACTAAGTGTTACCTGTAGAAATTAAGTAGAAAAAAGGTGGGTAGGGGAAACAGTAAGGTGAACTAAAGATCGGAGCACTGTGGGAAGCCTGGAAGGGGAGGAAAGGGGGGAGGGTAGGATGTAGGGAAGATATATATGTATGGTAAAAGTTGATGTATTTTGGATATATCCTAATAAAATGTTTGTTAAAAAAAAGAAGAAGAAGTTAATCCTCACCCAAAATGCAGAGGATCCAGAGAAGCTGGGAGTCATGTTTAAAGCCTCTTTTTAAATACATACACATCAGATTCTGCACTCCTTTGGAGCACACAGGTGGGAGTTTTGGTAACAGGGCACTCTGCACTAACAGCCAGAGAAAGCAAAGTAAAAAAGGAAGAGGAATATCACTTGTCTTTTCAGAATTCTTATAGGTAACTCGGGATGCCAGATACAAAGAACTGCCAGGAATTTCAGCTCAGTTCTATATCTGTGGCAGAAGAGTCACTCCATACAGGTAAGTGAGGGAGAGGGTCTCACCAGAAAGAACACACATCCCTCTCACAATCATCACTCCTCCAAGAAAAATGACTATGCAAAACACTCAGGTAGTCCCAGCCACATATTGAATTATACCCCAACATCTACCAGCTCCAATAGGGGGAACTCTGTACTTATAGAATCATAGAGCTGGAAGGGGCCATAGGGGCCTTCTAGTCCAGCCCCTCTGCTCAATGCAGGATCAGCCTAGAGCATCCCTGACAAGTATTTGTCCAGCCGCTCCTTGAAGACTGCCAGTGAGGGGGAGCTCACCACCTCCCTAGGCAGCCCATTCCACTGCCAGTTTGGTGTAGTGGTCAAGTGCACGGACTCTAATCTGGGAGAAGCGGGTTTGAGTCCCCACTTCTCCACTTGCAGCTGCTAGATGACCTTGGGCAGGCCATAGTTCTATCAGAGCGATCCTGAAAGAGCAGTTCTTGAGAGAGCTCTCTTGGCCCCACCTACCTCACAGGGTGTCTGTTGTGGGGAGGGGAAGGGAAAGGAGTTTGTAAGCCACTCTGAGACTCCTTTGGGTAGTGAAGGACGGGGTATAAATCCAATCTCCTCCTCTTCCTCCTCCTCTTCATCATCTTCTTCTTCTTCCTGTAAAACAAACAACCCTTCCTTATTCAGCAGGTGATGGCAACATCCTTCATCCAGGCTATGATAACACAGTGCAGAAAGGGGCCCCTGCTAGCCACATGTTCTCAAACCTAGCTAAGCTCCCACCATACACTGATGAAGGCATAGGCACCTTCGCTGGTGAGCCCCAGGCACGCTATTTCACCCCTTGCCCCAGTCTGGCAAACATTCATGAGTCACTCATTTTTCCTTGCAGGATATGAACCAGGCCCAGTGGGACAGAATAAACAGCAGCCGCAGACATTGCAGCTCCCTACAATGGGTAGGTGAGTATTGTTGCAATGACTACATCACCTCCCCCAACAGATTACTTTATAGTGTCGACCTTGTCAATAAAGGCAGAAACAGGCAGAACGGAAGAGAGTCTTAGTGATAGCATCCTTTCGCACATTTTAATTATTCGGCACAGCCAAATAGCACCTAGTTCTTAGAGCTATTTGGCTGCGATCACACACACTAAATAATCCACTTTCAATGCACTTTCCAAATGGCTTTTACTGTGTGAACTGGCAAAATCCAGTTGGAAAGTGCATTGAAAGTGGATTATTTAGTGTGTGTGACCGCAGCCTTTTTCTTACATCTGCTACACACTGCTCATGCCATTCCCATGTCTCTCTTGTCTCTCTACAGGCAACCATTCAACATGTAGTGAAGAAAGGATATTTCTCACTGTGTGTGTGTGACCTACAGCAGCAGCAGTGATCAATGGGAAGCCAGGCATGCCTCTAGAGTTGCCACCCTTGTCCTGCTTGGGTTCCCGGTCTTCTCAGAGTGCATGATGGATGGCAATGCGGCAGGTGTGACTCTGCCCAGCATAGTAATGGAGAAGTATGGCTACCCCAGTTGGTCCTGTACATAATGCAGATTTTTGAAGCATAAGAGGTTCTATGTGACACAGAAGTTGGGCAACCCCATTCCTCTGTTACATGTTCTATGTCATAGCTCACTCCACAACTCAATAAAAGCTGTCATTGTATCAGACATATCCCTGTTGTCATTATTGTTGGCAAGTAAGGAAGTGCCTTCCCCTCATTGTTCATCCCAGGTGTTTTCAGGATTGGGCATGCCCATGGGGGGGGGGGAGAAGAAGAAGAGGAGGAGAAGGAGATTGGATTTATACCCCACCCTTCATTCAGAGTCTCAGAGCAGTTTACAGTCTCATTCCCTTTCTCTTCCCACAGCAGACACCCTGTGGCTGAGAGGTAGGTGGGGCTGAAAGAGCTCTGAGATAACTGCTCTTGAGAGAACAACTATGAGAGAGCTGTGACTGACCCAAGGCCATCCAGC